AAAGAGTGCTGGAGCAGCAAAGGGCATTCCAGGGTTTGGTACCCTGGAGACGTCCACCGGTGTGGCTGCTCCTCTGGGCAGAGAAGAGGGGGACATGATGGGTCAAGCGGTCTGTGTCCTCTGAAGCCATCCTTAGCCAATGTTCCAGGGCTTGGTTGGCAGGATGAAGAGCATGAGGAGGAGACAATCTAGGTGGATGGAAATTCCATGGATGGAGATTCCATAAAGTGGTGGCCCTGGCCAGCAAGGTAAAGATGTTGCCCCATTACCAGTTTGCCTCCTTGTGAATGAAGGAGGACTATGTTCCAGCAGCCCGCTTGGACCCCTGAATTAAACAGCAGGCAATGGCTATTAAGCAGCAGCAAAGGGGCGTGCATGCAATGCCAGCTAATTTTCCATCACATGCAGCAGTGGCTGGTTAAGTCCCATTGAGTCAAATAGCGCTATAGCATACCATTAGATGCTTTTGTTCCTTACCACTCAAGGAAAGAGAGGATAAATGCAGATGCAACATTTACAGAGGGATTTTCCCCAGGCTGTAGAGAGACTGCTAAAGGTCAAATCCAGGCTGGAAGGCTGAATAACCAGGTAAACAAAGCAGATAGATTTAATAAGGTGCAGTCATTTTTCCTGGACTTTCTGGAGGCATTTGAGTTGATCAATGATGGCATCTTGTTGGATTGACCCGGTGCGTTGGGAACTCAGTGAGACAGTTATTCTGCTCTCATCGGGAGGATCCTTTCCACAATGTGTGATTGGAGGACGTCCGCTCCAGTGCCATTCCACTGTGGTATCCCACGAGGATCTAGATTGACTCCCTTGTTTGTTTGTTTTTAATATCTGTATGAAAGCACAGAGAGGGAAGTTACCAGGAGCAGGCTCGTGGTGCCCAGATATTATTTCTCCCTACGCTGAGTCAGTGAGAGTGGCAAGGTACTGAACCACTGCCTGGGATGTGTGAGTGCCATGGAAGAAAGCAAATAAATGTAGACTATGAATTAGCAGCTGAGATGAGCGGTGACTTGGCCCCAGGTTTTCGGCTGAACTTTAAAAGAGTTTTCCAAAATGCTGCATGTATTTTGGGGCGGGGTAATTTTCAGCCCCTCAAGTATATAGCTCTTGTCATGTTTGAGCTGAAATTTGAAGTAGATTTGCTGCGAATTAAGAAATTGGAGTCGCTAGCCCGGCCTGCTAGGGGCCAAGCAAGACACAAACGAAAATATGAATTTCCTTTTGGTCAGAATGCTCTTCTTGGAACAACGCAGATTCCCCAAAGACCAAGTGTACCTGGGCAATCAGAGATGCAAAGGAGGCCCATGTCTACCTCCTAGTGACCAATAACAAAACAGAGCTAGCAGGAAGGGCTGGATATGGGGTTGAAGGTGAGCGTTGCCCGTCAGACACCACTGAGGAAAGTGCTTCATTCTAATGACATGTAGTCAGATCTTGGGTTTAGGGAATGGGTGGGCAGACTGTTCTGGGATGGTGTTAGGGTCTCCTTGGAAGAGTGAATGCATAGCTGATCAACTTTACTTTCTGGAGATGTTACCTAACCTATGTGGGGTAGAGTATTATTCTAGGACAGCTTGAGCTAATACACCAACTATGGCAACCCTATGGATGAGTGACCTCCCTAAGTCCCAACATCAGCTGCTCTGCTCAGCTTTTGCAAACTCAAGGCCATGGAATCTTTTATCGGGCCGATCCATCTCTTATTGGGTCTTCCTCTTTTCCTGTTGCCTTCAGCTTTGCCTAGCACTATTGCCTTTTTAGTGACATTTTATAGTGCATAATGATACTTCAGCGTAATATGTCCATAGAGCTTATGCCGGTACCTCATGGTGCGCCTCTCACTAAAGTAATAAATGCACATGGCATTCCTCTTCTCCCCCCCCCCCTGCAGATGCCCATGCGTGTAGGAGTAGCAACAGTCATTTCATGAGGGAAATCTTGGCCCTCCCCTGGCCAGATTTCCGAAGCAGACATTTTGCATTAACTCCCCCATCCTAAATGGATTTGCTTTGCCTTAAAAGTCATTTTCAAGATAGACAAGTACAGGATTAAAGACTTGCTCTAATTTCCCATTCATGATTCAGGGAGCATTGATATGGGAAAAGTGCCTCTCTGTCACATAGCGACAGGGATCCAGCACGGTGGGGGAAGGTGAGCTGCTTGTCAGTGTGGGGGGGCTGCTTTCCCTTCCTCCCAACACCCCCCCCCTCCGCAAACCTCCCTGGTGCCATTGATGGCTGCTTGGATCTTCAGGCGGCAAAACACACCCACACAAATCCAGCAAGAGACAAAATTGGAGCCGCGAGAATGACTCAATGGAGTTAAGCTGTTGCCGAGGCTTTTAAGGAAGAGAAGTGGGAAGAAGAAGAAGAAGAAGAAGAAGAAGAAGAAGAAGAAGAAGAAGAAGAAGAAGAAGAAGAAGAAGAAGAAGAAGAAGAAGAAGAAGAGAGAGAGGGTGAGGGGAAATGAGCGCTCCCAGCTGCTCAGAGATCAGGTTCAGCAGCTTTGCCCAGCGGAGACTCTCTTGGTAGCCAAATACGTCTTGCTGGCTGGATTAACTCTGCCTGGAGCCTCCTCCCCTTTTCCTCAAGGTGACATGGGTCTCCCGGAGCCTCCCCCCCCCCACAGCCTGAAGTTGCTGGCCACCCCCAGATGTGTTACGCTGAGATTTGGGGAGTTGTAGCCCACATCATCTGGAATGCACCCAACTGGGAAGCAGAAGAACTGAGAAAGAGGTCTCTCGGGTCAGACCAAAGGCCCGTCGGGTCCAACCCATTGCCCAGGAGAAAGCCCACACAGAGGACAAGAGGGCACCTGCCCCTTCTTCCTCAAGCTCTAAAGCAAACTGAGACCTTCCTGCTGGTGGTCCTGGAAGGAAGACGTCTGGATCCACCCTGATTAAAAGTCCTGCATAGCCTTATGCTCCCAGATAGGGTGTAATGAAACAAATAGAGGTTGGTAGCTATCGTGACATCTGGATTTAGCAAGCCCCACAGCTGGATGATAAGGCTTTGTAAATGAGGCCATCTCTCACCACTGAGCTTCAATGAGAAGCAAAATGATGGGTGAGAAGGTCCCCCTTTACAGACACCCATTCCCACCTGCAGTGTCTCAAACAGGAGCCATTCCTTGAAGTATCCCCAAATCCTCGTAAATCCCAGCGTAGTGGGACATTCCTAGGACTTTTCCCACACAGAACAAAGATGTTGCCCCAGGTGCCTCAGAATGCTCTTTGGAAACAAGGATGGTAGGCAAGGATGGAGAAGAAAAAGATGTCCACTCAGTCTCCTGTAATGTTCGGCACAGGAATACTGCCAAGCTCTGACTGCAGTTCCTGAGGGGAAAAGATCCTCAGAGACACTTTTGTACTCATGTTTTAATTAGTTACGTCCATTCCATCTTTTAAGAAATCTGTCACAGGACCCTCTGTTGCAGAGATTTGATTTTTTTTTAAAATATTCCTCTAGCTGCACAGCAGATGTGTGGGGATTCACAGAGACAAATAACTTCAAGTTCCCCACCACTTTTTCTCATCAACCGGCACTTACCGTCTCAATACCTCACTCTGATAGATTAGTAAGAGAAAGAATAAACATTTTCATTACTTACCATTGAATGGATCTAACAGCAAACTGACAAACATGACTGCTTTCAGCCACAGGTCTTCAACAGACTTGCCAGCTGTTTGCAACAGAAAAAAGGGGGGAGGGAAATACTGGGCAAGAAACGGGGTTCTCTTTGAATTGAGAGACAGCAGGGAACTATTGGTTAGTGCCTAATAGATGGATAGTCACTCAAGCCCAGAAGGTTCCCTCCCAGCCAAACCTACTAAAGGCAATAGGCAAGCTTGCAAACACCTCAACAAACTCTCCACTCCAACTGATCCCACTTCTTCCTGAGTCTTATTGCTCCTCCTCATTCAGTGCCCGAGTCCATTTGGGTCTGGTCTAGGCTACAGACCACAAGGGGACATGGTTGCACTGGAGGTTAAACCGCAGAAGCCTCTGTGTTGCAAGGTTGGAAGACCAGCCATCGTAAGATCGAATCCACATGACGGAGTGAGCTCCCGTTGCTTGTCCCAGCTCCTGCCAACCTAACAGTTCGAAAGCATGTAAATGCGAGTAGATAAATAGGTACCACCACAGTGGGAAGGTCACGGCGTTCCATGTCTAGTCACACTGGCCACATGACCACGGAAGATTGTCTTCGGACAAACGCTGGCTCTATGTCTTGGAGATGGGGATGAGCACCCCACCCTAGAGTCAGACATGCCTGGACTCAATGTCAAGGGGAACCTTTACCTTTACCTTTACCTTTACCTAGGCCACTGTCCCAAGGGAGAGAAGGCAAGGCTAACGGAAGCAGCTGCAGTCCTTCCTCTTCCTCTCATGCCACAACTTGCACACTTGGAACAACCTTCAAGAGCACATAGGATGAATTCCAGGGCTTTTCTGTCTTTCTTTCAGACATACCATGGGTATCACCAGTGGGTATACA